CCTAAAAAAGGCTGTTTTAGGGCAGCCATGATAGGGGCCCAAATGTAATCCTAAACTATTGTAATGTATTTTGGAGTGATTCGGAAGACATACCTGATTTTTTGTGAAGAGATTGCCTTCCTGTTCAACGGCTGTTTGAGATTTTTGCACAGCAAAGGAAATACAGTATATTGAAAAGGCAAGCATTCCACAGATGACAATATTCGCTATTACTCGTAATGTAAATTGTAGGCACCGAAATTTCGACCCGAGCGATACACGACAGTCGGCAATTGACTCCTTGAAATACACAAATGGGACTTCTTTGGTTACTTACTTTCAAAATTCTTTTCTTTTTTTAAGATTTCTGTTTGAATGAGAGCGAGAAGAGAGAGCGGAGTACTCAGAGAGCAGAGAAGCAGAGAAGATGCTTTGGCTTTTCCCAGAATAATACCTCCCTCAACATTCCCCCCTCTGTTACCCCCCCCCCCCCCGCCACCCTTCCCCATATCGATCGTACCTACTATCTTCCTAATTGTCCCGACTCCTTCCACTTTTCCAGAGTTTTTTTTTCGTCACAAATTCCCCACTCTTACCCGATAAAAGGTGCAAACGAGCGAAAGGATGAGGGAGTCTCAAAGGAAAGTAAGAAAGTAAATACGACCCCATCCCTCCACTGATCAAATACGACCCCCCTCCTCCCTCGTAGGGGGTCCCACAGCTTACGACGTGCCCTGGCTGTTCATCTCATTGTGCTCAGGGCACATCATCGTTGGGGATTCCCCAACAGGGGGGGGGGGGGGGTGGGGAGGAGGTCGCAAATGGTTGGTTGATTTTTCTGTTTCACGGACGCTATATTTGGAGGGGTCGATTCGCTCGTCGTTCGGAGAGGGGCGTTCTAAGAGAAATTTGCGGAATTGGGAAAATTTCTCCCGGTTGTTGACATTTCGCTGTTTTTCCTGTTTCACTCTCCTCTCTCCTCCTCCCTCCCCTCCCTGTAGCTCGAGAAGTTTGAAAAAATCTGGTAGAAATTTGGGAAAATATAAGAAAGTAGTCAGGATGGGTGGTTTGTATTTTCCTCGCGGCTACTGTTTCACATGTGCTGTTTATCTTCCCCCACCCCCCCCCCCCCCCCCGTTCGACAGCTCGATGGCCGGGAGAGTGGGGTCATATCAAGCCACCTTTTAGGGGAAATCGTACGGACTCAATCAAAATCCCCATTTAATGATGTGCCCTGATCCTTTCACCATATAATTCATCATTAAAATACTTAATTAATCAAACTGCCGGCTTGATTGATTTGTCCAATAGCCAGCTTATTTCGTCTTTATTCATGCAAGGCCATATTCGAAAAGGTCTGATGGCC